GATTCTGCTTATAACGCTGATGATGCTGATGTTGCTGAGAGCGAGGATGATGAGTCTGCTGCAGATGCTGATGCTGATGCTGATCATGGTCATGCTGACGATGTGTATGATGATGGTGTTGGCGATGGTGATGAGGCTGATGATGATGTTGATGCTGAGTATGATGATGTGTATGCTGGTAGTGATGATGGTGATGCTGATGATGCTCATGTGGATGATGATGCTGATGATGGTGATGCTGATGGTGATACTGATGCTGATGCTTCGGCTGCTGATGATGATGGTGATGGTGATGATGAGGATGCGTATGGTGGTGATGGTGATGGTGACGGTGATGATAGTGATGCTGCCGATACAGGGTCTGGCTTGAATATGGGACACTCACGTTTCAACAGTGGTTCGGTCGTTCTTTTAGTTTGCATGCGTTCCGCTACCTTTTTGGCGGCGAGCCAGCCTGGTGGTCCTTCGGACTTCGTAGTCGTAGTTGGAAGAAGAAGCTTCGTTCCTTATTTATCGCTCCTTAGGCCAGGCCGAATACTGTAATCATGGTACTGGTGCTGGTAATAATGATGGTGACGATGCTGGTGATGATGATGATGGTAATGATGATGCTGAATATGATGATGCTGATGCTGACGATGATGCTGCTGATGATGGTGATGATAATGATGATTGTGATAGTGCTGATCATGCTGAGGATGATGGTGATGCTGTTGACGATGGTGATGGTGATGGTGCTGGTGATGCCATTCGCGATGATGGTGATGAGGATGATGCTGATGGCGATGATGATGATGACGATGGTGGTGACGATGGTTGTGATGGTGATGATGATGTAAATGCTGAATATGGTGATGAGTCGGATGATGCTGGTGATGATGGCGATGATGATTATGATGGTATGGTGATAATGGTCATGGTGATGGTGGTGCTGATACGAATGATTATGATGATGGTGATGATGATGAGAAAGCTGATGCTGATGACGATGATGAGTTTGATGGTGAAGCTGATGTGGATGATGATGATGATGGTGAGAATGGTGGTGCTTATGATGCTGATGATGATGCTGATGGTGGTGCTGCTGATGATAATAACGTTGATGATGTTGCTGCTGATGAGTTTGCTTATGATGATTGGGATGATAGGATGAGGATGGTGATGGTGATGATGATGCGGATGCTGATAGTGATGGTGATGCTGAGGATTATGATGATGTCAGTGTTGATGATAATGATTGTGATGATGGTGATAATGATGTTGATGCTGAGTATGATGATGTTGATGATGATGCTGATGCTGATGCTGATGATGCTGCTGATGATGATGATGCTGATGATGATGATGATGGTGATGTGGCTGATGATGGTGATGGGAATGCTGATCATGATGACATTGCTACTGATGCTGGTTAAGATGAGGACGATGCTGATAATGATGCTGATTGCGATGATTGCGGTGATGATGATGATGATGATGATGATGATGATGACGGCGACGACGTCGATAATGATGTTGATGATAATGGTGATGATGAGGAGTCGGAGGTGGATGAGGATGATGCTTGTGGTGGTGCTGATGATGCTGATGGGCGATGATGATGAGGAAGAGGAGGAGGAGGAGGAGGAGGAGGAGTCGCCATGATAAGGATGCTTGTGCTGATTCAGCTGCTGCTGCCTCTGCTGATGGTGATGCTTTTGATGATGATGATGCTGATGATGATGATGGTGATGGTGATTGTGGTGATGCTGCTGCTGGTGATGATGATGATGTTGTTGGTGATGATGGTGATGTTGATGATGGTGATGGTGATGGTCATGATGGTGATGACGGTGATGACGATGATGATGATGATGATGATGATGATGATGATGATGATGATGATGATGATACTGGATCAAGCCGCAGGCGTTTTTTTTCTTCAATTCTGACGCATATTCGGTGGGTGTCAATGTCCAGAGGAACTCTACAGGACTTAAAGAGAGCCCGAGACAGAGTGTGTGTATGTGTGTGTGTGTGATTTGTCCGCCCCTTGTGTCTTCCACAGTATCCGCCAGGGAGAAGGGGGGAGGCATGTTTTAAACCTTTTATATCTGCCGCGTGGCCGATATCGATTGTGTCGGGCACTGCGAAGCCACTCAGCGTGTAGTCATGTGCGACTCTATTGCTACACATGCGTCCTTCTGCAGTGCCCAGTGCGCGCGATGCGTGTCCCTTACCACTTTGGCTCAAAGCAGCCGAGCACACTTGTGCGCACGGCTTTTCATATATATATATATATATGTATATAAAAAAATATCAATTTCAACCATCCGGTGTTGCTGGGTCCTCGTTTTGAAGAGACAGCGCCCCGTGCCCTTCCTCCTCCTCTCCTTCTCTCTCCTCCATCCTCCCACCCCTGCCTTTGCCCTGCGCATGTCCACTTCGGCACGCACACACACACGTGTCGTACCTCCACAGGGAGCTCCGCCTAAGGCCCCGGTGGCCGCGTTCCCATGCAGTTCCACCCCCCATCTCGGCACACAATTCACACGCATTTTGGCTCCATGGGGAGCTCCACCCAAGGCCCCAGTGGCTGCGTTAGCACGCAGTTCCGCCTCTCATTTTGACCCCGCCGTCACACGTGTCGTCGCCTCATATGGAGCTCCACCCAAGGCCCCAGTGGCTGCGTTCACATGTGGTTCCGCACCCCATTTCGGCACACCCTCACCCGTTACTTGGCTCCGAAGGAAGCTCCACCGAAGGCCCCGGTGGCTGCGCTCGCATGTAGTTCTGCGCTCCATCTCGGCACACCCTTCACACGCTTCGTGACCTACTAGGGAGCTCCACCGAACGCCCCAATGGCTGCGTTCGCATGCGGTTCTCTTTCCCATTCCGCCATGTGGCTCCATAGGGAGCTCCACCCAAGGCCCCAGTGGCTGCGTTCACATGCGGTTCCACCCCCGATTTCGGCATTTCCCTGTCACGTTTCGTGGCCCCATATGGGGCTCCACCCAAGGCCCCAGCGGCTGCGTTCGCATAGAGTTCCGCCCCACTCGGCACGCCCCTCACACGATTCGTGGCCAAATGGCGAGCTCCACCGAAGGCTCCAGGCTGCGTTCGCATGCGGTTCCACCTATTTCGGCACGCCTTTCGCGCGCTTCCTGGTCCAATATTGGGGGCGGACCCGAGGACCCAGTGACTGCGTTCACATGCGGTTCCACCCTCCTTTTCTGCACACCCCACACGCTTCGTGGGCCCAATAGGGAGCTCCACCGAAGGCCCCAGTGGCTGCATTCGCACGCAGTTCCGCCCCGATCTCGGCACACCCCTCACACGCTTCGTGGCTTCACATGGAGCACCACCGGAGGCTCCAGTGGCTGCGTTCGCATGTGGTTCCATTTTCTATTTCGGCACACCCCTCACCTATTTTTTTTGCCCCATAGGGAGCTCCACCTTAGGCCGCAGTGGCTGCGTTCACATGCGTTTCCACTTCTGATTTCGGCACACTCGTGGCCCCATAGGGGGCTCCACCAAAAGCCCCAGTGGCAGCATAGCATTGCGGCCCCGAATCCATTTCTGCACACCCTCACACGCTTCGTGGCCCTAAAGGGAGCTCCACTGAAGATGTTACAACATCTGGTGCTACTCACAACTGCAGATGGTTGGGTCCGTTGCCAGAATAATTCGTTCCCCTACCCCTCCGCACCAACACCGCTTCAGGGTGTCCCTCCTCCGCAGCTCTCTGTCATCCCAGCGTGAGCCGAGTCGTCGCCGCACTTACTCTTCACCCAAGACGGCCGCGATCCAAAACAGCGTGCACGCTGCTCGTAAACTCCTCTGGGGTTCGCTGTGGCGGCTGCCCAGTGCATCCTGAGCGGCAGCCTCAAGCGCCCCACCTGCGCTCCAAGCAGGTTCACCCACCGGGCTGGGCGGTCGCCGGCCGCCGCCGCCCGAATCGATGGCTCAGCGCGCTTTCACCCGTAAGGAAAATACATGTCGTCATCATCATCACCATCATCACCATCATCATCATCATCATCATCATCAGCATCAGCATCAGCATCAGCATCATCATCATCATCCTCGTCGTCATCATCATGTGAATTTGCTCTCATGCACCCTCCTCTTGAAGGGTCTTGCGCGCAATCCCGTTCTAAGGGGCTCCGTCTCGGCCAAGAGGATACAGCGCGGTGCTTGGGGTAGTTCTGCAACTGCTTGATGACGACGATGAGGATTATGATGATGGTACTGATAATAATAATGGTGATGATGACGATGGTGATGATGAAACTGATGATGAAGATTCATATTCAGATAAGATGGTGACGCTGATGATCATGATGCTGACGATGATGATCATGATGCTGACGATGATGATGGTGATGGTGATGGTGATGGTGATGATTCTGCTGATGATGATTTAGATGATGGTGGTGGTGATCATCTTGATGATGCTTCAGATGACGATGATGACGGCGACGATGGTGATGCGGAGGAGGATGTTTATGCAATTGATGCTGATCCTGATGATGATGATGGATGATGATGGTGCTGATGATGATGAGGATGAGGATTATGAAGTTGATGTTGTTGATGTTGATGATGATGGTGTTGATGATGATGATGATTCTGACTATGACCAGTATCAGGCAGATGCATATGAAGATGATGCTGATGATGATGCTGCTACGTATGATGCGAATTATTATGTTGGTGATGATGCTCGTGATCATGAAGCTGATGATGCTGATGATGCTGATGATGATGATACTGATGATGATGATGATGATGCTGATGATGATGATGATGATGATGATGATGATGATGATGATCATGGTGGTGATGATGATGAGGATGATGATGATGATGATGATGATGCTAATCATGGTCATTACCATGAGCACGGCCATGATGATGGCGATGATGATGTTGCTAATGATGAGGGCGATGACGACGGGGATGAGGATGGCGATTGTGATGGGCGTGACGACGGCGAGCTGAGCTCTGGGATGCCGAAGGTGATGGGCGTGCCGAGCCCCACTGACAAGGAGAACTGGCACTGGGCCTGCGGGAACGAGGGCGGCGGCCTCAGCGCTCGCCGGTGCTGGTGTGGCCGAGAGTCTAGCGTCAAGTCGGGCCTGTCCCTTTACAGGAGGTATACTCAAATATTGTCAAAAAAATAGTCTGGGGACTATCATTTTGTGACTACTTTTAAGTATTTTTGGCATAGTATTGACCATCTTTCTTTTTTCGTCCAAAGTCCCCAGTAGGGGAACACGCCCGACCTGGTTCTAGCGGGCAGAGTGCGAGGCCCACGGGCATAGAGAGATGCGCGCTTCTTCCCCAACAGGTGCTTGCACTTGGGGCATCTTGCTCAGCTTCTGAGTGGTTGGCATGGGCGCCCAGGTCTTCGCCAAGGTCGCCGCCTCCTGGGCGCCTCGTGGGCGCTTCGTGCGCTGGCTGGACACGGCTTGCACCACGCAGCTTTCTCTGCGTAGCTGGCACCACACTGCGCTCCCCCCCACACTGCGCTTGCACCACACAGCTCGCGCACCACGATAACAACGATCGTTATCGTTGTGTTCGCCACGATCGTTGTCATCGCTGTGATCGTGGTAATGGTGGTCATCGTTATCGTGGCTATCGCTGTGATCGTTGTCGTTGTCGTCGTTGTCAGTGCACAGGCCCGCTGCTTGGAGCCCACGCGGGCAGCATGTCTCGCAAGCAGGCGCGGTCGGGGCCCGTAGGCCGGCGGCAGGCAGAGTGCGAGAGCCACGGGCAGGGAGCGGGGCGGGACTCTGCATTGTGCCTTCTTGACCGTCAGACCTTGCCAAGGGGGCCGCCCGCTCGCCCTGGACTGCTGGCAGGCCAGCCTCCTAACCCTCACGCCTGGGCGACCTGCGAGCGGGGGTCGAAGAAGAAAAAACGTCATGAACATAAACTGTTGGCTCTCCGCGCGGATTTCTTGGACACGCGCTGGCCACCCCCAGCGGCGCCTCCGGCGCCGCCCCTGGCGCGCTCCGCGCGCCAGGGAGGTGGGTCCAGCGCAGCTCCAAGACATCTGCGCGGAGCGCCAAAAGTTTATGCTCATGGCGTTGTTTCTTCTTTCTAAGGGGGCAGGGCAGCAGTATTCGTTCTTGTCGGCAGCGAGTGGGGACGCAGGCGCGTTCGATAGCCGACGGGCCGCGCCGGTCTGTTGGCAGGTCGTGCGCGACGGAGCCTGGCGTGCTCACAGGCAGTGCGCGCGCGACAGGGTGGGCAACCACAAAACCAGGCGCGTCAAGTAAGAGACCGGCCCGCCAGCAGGAGCCCCACGGACGGCTCTCCTCTGCCAGTGGCCTTCTGGGGGCCCGCAGAGGCCCCGGGGCAGCTCAGGAAGCGCAGACCTCGACGGAGAGCGTGGCCCAGGATGTCTTCGAGTGAGGCTGCTGGTCGCACGTGTCAGCAGTGCGCCCGGAGGTGGAAGTCCGCTCAGGCTCGCGGCCCGCGCCCGCAGCAGCCCCCATCTCCCCCGCACGGGTTGAGCCAGCATGCGGGTTGAGCCAGCATGGCCTGCTGGCCCGAGGGCCCCCGTTCCGAGCCGGAGGGGCCGCCCCCCCCCCCCTCCCTCCCCCCCTCCCCAGAGCTCGCCGAAGAGCGCACGCGGCGGGACCTCGGGGTGCCCCGGCGACTTTCCCGTGCGCTCGCGTGGTGCCAGGCGGGGGCTCGGTTCCCGTGCGCTTGCCTCCTCGCCTGCATGCGACTCGTTTATGCTTCCTCGCTTCAGCGCCCATCGGCGGCGGTAGTGGTCGGTCTCGTTTGACCGATCCCCATCCCCATCCCCATCCCCTTTGAGACCCCCACCGGATTACCCCCCCAGTTGGGGATGCACCCCTCGAGACCCGAAGGGAACGACCTACATCCCCACCTGGGAGGGTAACTCGGCCAGCGGGGCCCAGGCCACGCCGCTGGGAATGGGGATCGGTTCAACGACACTCAAGTGGGCCCTTCGGCCGTCTCTGGCAGCTGTGGTCCCGGGAGGCCCCAGCCGTCGGGGGCCTGCCGCGCAGGCGCTCTCGGCGTCGGCGCCGGCGCCTCTGCCCATCGAGTCCGCGCGCGGCTGCGGCCCAGGCGGTGACAAGTACGAGCTCTGCTTCTCCGTGAACGAGCACTACGAGGACAACAACGACGACGACAACGACAACGACAACGACAACGACGACGATGGCGACGGCGACGACGACGACGACGACGACGTCGACGACGACGACGACGACGACGACGACGACGACGAGGACACCTTCGGCGACAAGAAGGACCCGAACAAGCCGAAGTGCCCCGTCTGAGGCCCTGCGGCGGGCGAGGGCGGGCGGGCACGCGCACGGCGGCGGGCGGTGTGCCTGGAGAGCAGGGGGGGGGCACGCAAGAGAGGCAGCTGCTCGACGTCCCAGCAGGGATCTGTCCGTTCTGTGCGCCGAGGAGCGCATGAGCCCCGCCCACGTGCTACGCACCGCTGTAGAGCGCACTCGAGGTGCCAGGGTCATTTCCGGAGTGTTCAGCGTCGGCCGAGCCCTGACCCGTGCCCCCGATGAGCCCGCCGCCGCCTACAGCCAGCCCGCATAGTGAGGAGGAGCGGCTTCTCGAGGGTACCCCTGCATCCTTGCCTCTTCGGCCATCTGCGGTCCATCCGCGACCGCGTTCGATGGCCAGCCCCGCTCGAAGGACCTCGGCATGGGCGCCCAAGACCCCTGCATCCTTACCGTTCATCCTTACTATACGGGTTGACTGTACTACTGTATTTCACGGGCTTCATTTTCCAGCATGACAGCATCTCCTCCTCCTCCTCCTCCTCCTCATCATCATCATCGTCGGTAACATCACCCTCATAAGAATCATCATCAGCAGCATCATCATCATCGTCATGATCATCACCACTATCATCATCATTAACCTGATCATCAGCAGCATCATCGTCACCATATTCATATTCCTATTCATCTGCATATTCATCTTCATATTCACCATCCTCACCACCATCACCAAAAGCATCAGACTAATCAGCATCACCATGATTATATCAATATTCATGCTCATATTCCACATCACCTTGATCATCAGCATCAGCGCCATCATCATGTTCATCATCATCACCATCAGCATCGTGCTCTTCATCATCAGCATCATCATCGGCAGCATCTTCAGCATCATCAGCATCATCATCTTCACATTTTCCCATCCCCATATTCATACTCATCTTCCACATCATCATCAGCAGCAGCATCAACACCATCGTGCTCAGCATCATCAGCAGCATCATCATCACCATCATCGCAATGACCCTCATCAACTTCATCATAATAATCATCGGAATCATCATCATCATCATCATCGTCATCGTCATCGTCACGTCATCGTCATCATCATCATCATCATCAGCAGCAGCAGCAGCAGCATCATTATCATCATCCTCATCATCAGGCGGTTGTGGAATGTCACAGCGTCGGCGGGCGGCCGCGAATGCGCGGGCGTCGTTTTGGGGCTGCGGATGGAAGCGAGGGGCGCGCCAGCGTTGCCGAGAGAATGCGGGACAGACAAGGCGAGGCGCGCTCACGACCTGCGGGCAGGACGACGGGCACTGGCCCACTCGCGCGGCCAGGGTGGGCGATCGGTGCGAGGAGCTTGTGTGGATGAGCGCGCAGCAGGCACAGGTCTTCACAGAGCCCCCAGTTTCATCCTCAGAGTCAGAGCGCGCGCTCCAGGTCGATCCCACTGCTGCCCGACCAGTCGCGCATGGGACCACGTTTGGACCGCGCGTCGCTCCTAGTCCAGAGCGCAGGTCCTGTTTCCATCTAGTCGATCGGAATCGATATCGGTTTCGACCGATCTGATCCGATTCGACCCCGATGTTCGGGCGATCCGATGCGGCCCAAGACTTGGTTGGCACCACTGTGCCGTGCTCCGCTTCTTCCTCCCCCTCTTCCCCCTCTTCCTCCCCCTTCGCTTGTCTCCGCAGGGGTTGGCTGGGCCCCTGATCCTTAACCGCTTTTTGCCTGGACGGGGTACCGGCTCCCACTTCCCCTCGCGGAGGGTGAGACGCTTTGCGCAACAACCGAAATTGCATGCTGCTGCTGTAGAATCTTGGTGCGGCCGCTCTGATTCGGTCTCGACCCCGTGCCGATGCAACCCGATCTCCGACGCACGTCGATCCAGCCCGACTTCCCATTTCCATACCGGCCGATCCCTGCCCCCTGACATCCGTCGCTGTGTTTTTCAATCGGCGGCCTCAGGGGTCCCAACCCCTTCTCCAGGGGTAGTTTTCTGCCCCGTATCAAGTCTTGATGGCCCGAAGACGGCCCAAGAGGGCCGACACCCATCAAGAACCACTGGTTGAGATCTTCGGGCTGGGCCAGGACAGAGATAAATCGTTCCAGAGCGTGCCGAAACGCTTTCAGAGCCTTCCGCCCGACACATCCTCCAGAACCGCCGGACCTCGGTGATTTCCGATACATCGCTGTCCGATGTTTTCCTTGTCTTGGCTTCGTAAAATCTGGGGCTTCGATCCTGATGGGCCGATTTTCCACCACCACTGCCATAGGTACGAGAGGGAGGAGGATGAGGAGGAGGAGGAGGAGGAGGAGGAGGAGGAGGAGGGGGAGGAGGGGGAGGGGAAAAAAAGAAGCACTCCGTTGGGGCCAGGTTCGTCCACCTACCTAGACATACAAAGGCCCAGAGACTATCCTTCAGATAGGATCCAAAACGCCTGGGACGCTGGCCCCAAGGCTAGACCGTAAACTGGTCCACTGCCCGAGGCACTGAACGCGGGCACGAGTTACCCGTGTCCAGACCCGCGGGGAAACAAAACTTACCCCATTCTCTGAACCATCCTGCACATGCCTATTACGACAGAGGGCCTCCCACCGAGCCGAGTCCCTGGGTATCCCCTGGGCCATCAAAAAATCTCTACCGCTCGGTTGCCAGAGGGGGCCCTCCGTCCATGCCTCTGGATATACCTATTCTTAGCCACCATCACCTCCGCTCCTACCTGCATGGGAACTATGTAGCTACTGGATCTCGTGGGGGTGATCGTCGGGGGGGTGGAAATACTCCTCGAGGGCCTCTGAGATCCCGACGATGGCATCTGTGGGCTTCTGGGGGCAATCAGAGCACTCGGCGAAATACTCCTCTGGGGTTTTTGAGATGCAGACGATAACATCTCAGGACTTCTGGGCGTAATCGTCGGGGGCGGCGAAATACTCCTCAAGGGCCTCTGGATCCACGAGGGCCTGGAAAAACGAGGCGGCGCTGGTGGTGGAATGGATCTAGATGCGGACGATGCCTTCACTCTCTCCTTCCACTCCTTCCCGGGTACGTCGGGCGAGGCCTGGGCCTCGCTCTGATTCTCCGAAGGATCCCACCGTCTCTCTGACGAAACTGGATGATGTGAATCAGATATGCGTTGCCCGTGTCGTACTCGAGGAGACTGCATGCAGTGAATCACCCACCGATTCAATATTGAAACTCGTCGGTCTTCCCATTTCTTTGGGCAGCTGTGAATTCTGTTCAATACTAATATCTACGCCAGAGAGGTCTCGAGCCACTCCTGCATCTCCTTTTCCGTGTGCGACGCAGGCGCTCTCCCCGACTTGAGTTCGCCGCCGAGCTGGGTCAGCGACGAGATCACCTCCTTGCGGCATTCGCCCAGGCAAAGTGTGATGCGTCTCTCCTGCTGGTCGCAGCACCCGTCGAGCTTCGTGAACTTGATCGCGTCCGTGCGCTCCTCGTACCCGTACCCGATCGAGCCCAGGCGCTCCTTCCACTCCTTGAGCTTCCCGAAATTCGCCTTGCCGATGCTCTCCGGTCGGTTGAGCAGCGCCTCCAGCGCGCCTAGGTTGTGGCCTTTTCCTTTGGTCTGGACCTGCTCGTTGTACTTGGCTCCTTGCGCTGACATGTGCGCTACCTCTGGCATGTCGTGAGGGACGATGATGACGTCGAAGAGGATCCCCTCCACCGTGCGGCGCGACTGCGCCAGCTGCATGATCATCTTCATCATGAGCACCATCAGCGTCTTGTTGGCGGGATTGTAGCCAGCGGCGGTCTTGATTACCTTCTGCTTGTCTCCGTCTCCTGTGCGTCGGCGCTGGCTGCGGTCGTTCTCGTCCTTCTTCGCCGCCTCGCCGCTGAGCGTCAACATTGCGTGCAGCTCTGTCCGCGGCGGGGCGTGCTGTCGCCGTCAGTCGCACTCTCGGTGCTCTGGGCAGAATGGCGACGGGCGGAGGAGGTAAGTGCTGTTCAACTACATGGTCCAGGAAATCATCTAGCGTGTCGTGCTCCTCTCCGCACATAGGACATGCGCATGACTTCGGGGCAACTGGGGTCCACGCAAAGGCCGTCCTCTGGAGTCGACACCGATTGTTTAGCCAGGCCGTACGAACGTGCTGTCGAGCGCTATCCCTGGTCGAGAAACAACTTCGGCACCATGGACACACGTTAGAAATCACCGCTGACAACAGCGGATCTTGCTTTCCGTGCCCTCCCCCTTTCGATCGAGACTGGTGTGCGAACAGGGCACTACGTGTGTCGAATATTTGTGAACCTAGTATCCCATTTTCATCATTGAGCGTACATGCGTGGCTACCAGGTTCCATTAGGGGCCCACCTTCTTCCTTAAGAGCCTGTGCGGGTACTCTAAGTCGAGACAGAAAAATGTCCCCCCCATCATGTAACTCCAAGAATAACGCCTTCCAAGGATACCCCCATCTCTCCCAAGACGCGAAGAAGTCCTCCGCTCCACTGATGTGTGCGTAGGTCCAGACATTTTTTTCAATCTGCATGGCGATCGGCGGTGCGGACTTCGTGAGCTTGCCAACAGCGTCCAAGCTCTCGGGCCCATTCTGTAGTTGCGCCCCATATCGCGGCAATCACCTGGCGGTGCGAGACAGCGTCCTCGGCCATCTGCTGCACCCAACTGAATCTCCTGGCCGCCTGCTCGAGGCGGATCGGCATTAAGCGCCTCTTTCGGCGAAGCACCGAGCTGGGGAGAGTGTGAGGGCGTTCGCCTTCCCATTCCGTAGCCCTCCCCCTCTCCAGGACCCGAAGGTATTTGTAAATCAAGGTATCCAGTTGTTGCGTCTGGGCCTTTGAAAAAACGTACGGCTCATTCGCGGATAAGCCGCCTCCACCACGTGGCCCCTAAAGGCCATCGTCTTCAGACTCCTGGAAATCTTGCTCGTCCAAAGTTTCCCCATCTTCCCCCACCCAGCGTGGACCGCAGCACTGCGGTACCTGAACTCCTCCATGCTGGACACATTCCAAGCGTATCGGCTACCGAGGTACCTGGCGCGAGGAAGAGCTTTGCCACCTTGGGACTCCTGCGAAAAAAGTCTGTTTGCTCGATGGCTTCTGAGACTTGGTATCGTTTCACGTTTACTGCATTTCTGAATCAAACCCACCTCCTCCAAAGCCTCATCCAGTTTCAAATCGCTTTCCTCCAGGGTCGCTTTTATCGATTCGGGCGTCGTGTCGTCGACGGCGATTTGATCAAAGATGTCGTCGGCATACACCGTCGTCGCCCCGCAACACGTTCCCCCAAATAGCCCACATCTCAGAGTCTTGACCTCCGAAGCAGTCGAGCGCGTGTCGATCCACTGGCGCATCGGCTGCTCCATCGCTTTCGCGAAGACAACCGGCTCTTCACTAGATCCTATCAATCCCCCACGACGATGTCGAGCGACGAGGTTCCTCGGGTTCCTCCAGGGGTCTTCCGTGGCTTCTTCGAATATCATGATAAGCCCAGAGGTATCCGATCTCGTGTGCATGAGCTGTGCATCAGCGTGTCCGAAGAGTTTGTTGATCGCATGTCTACGCGCTCGTGCTGTAGTAGTCGCGCTCGATCGCTATGCGGAGGCGTTCGTCATGTCGTGCAAGTTGTTCAAGTGTGGTATGCGCTGTGTGCGGTACCTGAATCCCATGCATAACTGTACTGCAATAGCATCCTCCCGCCGACAACGAGGGATAAATCCGTGGAATTGAGCTGGCCATCGAACTCCCTGAGTATGCATTTGTTTTCAGCTGGCCTTCGTAGAAGCCTTTCCAGTACGGGCACATCACGTTGATCAGACGTTTCGATAGTGGTCCCACCTTTCCGTTAAATTCAGCTATAGGTATAGACCACGCGAGATTCCCCAACATCGGTGTACGTCCTATCGTACGGCATGCACTGTGTAACTCTTCCAGGATACGTGCTGATGTTGTCATACTCGTCTCTCCAATCGGTGTGCATCCAATACCCAAGTGCTCCTCAGGGCGCACGGAGAAATACTTAGGGTCGGCGGCCATCAGATGCAGCTCGACAGGAAAACTCCACGGTGGGGCCGCCCTACCCTTCTGGCTCTTGCGCAGCTGTCCAATTGTCATCTGGAAATCACGCTGGCCGAAGAATGCGTGTCATCCCTGTTCCTCCTCTCCTGGAAGTGTCGGTGGTTATGAGAAGAACGACATCATCCGCTCCACGTCCAAGGGGACTGCCTCCATGCCTCCCCCCGCGGCGGAGAGGCTGAGCTGGTCCACCCACTCGTCCTTCGTCTCGTAGGTCTGCGGCAGGTTGTACTTCCGTTTCCTTGGGCCTCCTTGCTTTGCTGCTGCTGCTGCCAACAAGAAAAGTAACTTATGTACTTCAGCATGTAAGGGGGGGGGGGGGGGGAGGAGGAGGGGGTAGAGGAGGGGGGAAGAGGAGGGGGGAGGAGGGAGGAGGAGGAGGAGAGGAGAGGAGGAGGGAGGGGAGGA